TTAAAAAAAAAAAAAAAAAGAAAACAAGCAAGGTAATTCTATATTGGGGCGGGGGAAAAGAGAGAGAGGCTTAAAATCTTACTTTGAAGGTCATATTGGGCCCCAGACCTTCAAGGACAAGTCATTAAGTTGCTTAATGAATTTTTTTTTTTTTTTTTCAGTTCAACCTGTGTTAAACTCTCTGCTGGGTGCAGGAAAGAAAAAGTGAGTAAATAATGGTCCCTGCCCTCCCCAGGTTTAAATGTAGGGCGTGCAAAAAACACAAGGAACTATAACTCAAGGCAGACGCTGATAAGGCCTGGGGAAAACATCTCAAGAGAACAGAGGAAGTATAGATTTATTTAATCTAGGGGGTGTCACTAAGAGCTGAAATTGGAAGAGACTGAAACAACGTAAGTGTACACAGAAACAGCTATGGCGGTGTGGGCCTCGTGGAGAGAAAAGGTGGCAAACAGGTTGGATTTGTACTTCCTGGAGAGCTGCTCTTAGGGTAGAGTGGGTAGATTTTGAATGCTGGGCTACATCTGATTCCAGGCATATTTATACTCTCTGTTGATGATTTCTATTTAGGTAGTGGTCATGCACAAATGTAATTAAATCTAACTTGAAAGAGAGCTGTGTTGGAACGTGTTGGTTAGGGCAGTAACAAAGTTAGACCAGTATTAAAGCCTGAAGATGGTATAGAATCCAAAATTGGCTACTGATTGGATGTGCAGAGCAAGGAAGAGGTCAAATGATATTTTTAAATATATGCCTTTAGGTACAATATGAATTAAGATGCCGAAAACGTGTAGCCCAGGGCTAAATCTAGACTCTAAGTTCCGAGCCATGTTTTCTGGAGGCCGTTGGGAGTAAGTCATCACACTGTATTCACTGCCCAATGGCGATAGAGGATCCTATCCAACAGTTCACCCAAATACCTCACATTCTCAGCAGCAGAGTAATGAGTGAGCAGAAACATAAGAGGGGAAGAAATTAGATTCCAGGTAATGGGCTGAGAAGCAAAGGTTAAAATAGGGTCCCAAGCTCCAATACTTCCCCGGGCCAGGCAGGTAAGTGAGTACAATGGGTCAACATAAGCAAAAACCAAGCATGTAAGCATATCAATAACTGACAAGTGACCCTTTAGTCTTGGTGTCAGGAAGACAGGGGTGGTGGGGCATAGAGCAAACAGAGGCTACAGGCCCTGCTGAAGGGTGGAAGCCATCCAACAAGTAGAATCACTCAACTTCCTCGAAGAATGTGGATTCAGTGTTGTCAAAGTGGCCAATTTTAAAAGCGAAGCTAGAAATGCAGATTTTAATTTTAAATCTCATTTTTAAATGATGCAACTAATTCGTTCAGAAACAAATCAAAGGTAAAAATAAACCAAAACATTGTCAAGGACAAATAGCACATAGGTGAAAACATGATTCAGCCTGCAGGACTGAGATTTGCAACTTCCGGGTGAGAGTCTAACCTATGACCACCAACATGGTTTGAGGAAGGTCAAGAGAATCTAGAAGAAAGTTGTTGGAAGGGCTGGAAAATATATCTGTATTAATTAATGCATCCAGAACACACAGCTGAAGGCACAATGAGCTGGTTGCAACGGGGGTTTAAGGTTTCTCCCTCTCAGAGAATAAAAAATACCACCCATATTTGCTTGATTATGGTCTTTACGTCTCTAACATCTCCCAATCCTATTGGGCATCCCCATTTTGCACAGATTTGATGGAGATTCATTTCTTGAGCAGTAAGCTAATATAGCTGTGGTTTAGACATTTGGGTACTGATGTTTCCTAGATAACTCCAAAAATAAATAGGTAAAATCTGATGATGTCTCTCAAATTGGGAATGTAATGATGGGGACTTTCTCTCTCTCAAGTCTGTCCCTGAGATCTATAGCTCCAGAATTCTTGTACCCATACCACAGTCCCGCCTCTTGAAGTTAGATTATATGTGGATTTGTACTTCCTGGAGAGCAGCTCTTAGGGTTTCTATTCTATATTTCAGCAGTTTTGCTCATTTGTGGTATTGTAAATTTTTCTATTTTAGTTTTTAAAAGATGCTGGCTTGAATGAGTGGTAGTAGTGGACATGGAGGGAAGTGGAAGGATTCAAGGTGTTTTGCAGAGTTGATGTGACTTTCTGATGGATTGGATTGGAGGTGGTGGTGACAGAAACCAAGAGCAAGCCCTAGACTGTTGCATAAGCAACTGGGCTAAGTGTCAATGTTGGGTTTGAGATGCCCATTAGAAATCCAAGCAGAGGGGCCAATGGGTAAATGGACACAAGAGCCCAAAGCTAGGCAAGGGATGTCAGGGTTGGAGATGTAGAGTTATATGCAAATGGTATGTAGTTTTCAAAGCCAGGGGCTCAGATGAGATGATCTAAAGAATATTTAGATAACGAGAAGGGGGCCCAGGGCAAAACTCTAGGGATTCCAGTATTTAAAAGCTGAGCTAAGAAAGAGCCAGATAGAGTTGTGACCAAAGCTGTCACAGAAAACCTCAAATTCCCCACCATGGCTTACTAAGACCTACATTGTCTGACTCATGCCTCCTTCTCCAGTTTTCTCTTACCAATCTCCCTAACACCAACTATACACTCGGTCTTTTTACTGTTTTTCAAATATGTCAAGTTTGTTTCTTCCTTAGGGGCTGTCTGCCAGCTTTGAGTTCTCTCGCTGCTTGCCTCCCTTCACAAGCCTGGGTCTGGTCAGAGCCCAGCTTACAAATGTCACCTCCTAATGTGGCCTTTCCTGACCACCCAATCTGGAGTATTCATCCATGCCCCTTCTAGCCCATTACCCCATTTTAAGTATCTCCAGAGCACTTACCTTTTAATGTTAGTCCTTTTGTCCATTTCTCACGGAACTGAGAGCTCCACGAGAAGTGACCTCACCTGTCTTGCTCACTGCTGTATCTCCAGCACCTACAGCAGACCCAATATGTGTGAATGATGAGGAATTCTGTCTAGAAGTTCTGTACAAAAATTAACAGACACTGCTGGGCCCTTATTTGTGTCTATATCAAAGAAACTTAGTTGTCTGATGAGATGGTAACTGTACTGCATTCCATGAAAAAAAAATGAACTATTTTTCTAGCACAAAAGTTAGACACAAATATAAATTCTTCTTTGACCTCTTTGTCTTACACATTGTGTCAAAATTACTGAGAGAAAAACACAACAAAGAAAACCTTTAAAAACAAGTCTCTGAATAAAAGCAGACCCATGTAGGACTCTGGCTGCACAAAACACAAACACACAGAATTCACATGGTCTTGGTGCTAAGTGGGTAGGTGGGCTGCCACTGAAGGGTTGAGCCCCAATGTTCAGAAACCAAACCTTTGTTCTTCCAGTGTAAATTCCAAGTCAAAGGTTGTGGATTGTTCTAGAGCTGAGACAGACGACAGAGAACACTTGATTTG